GGGGAGAGGTAGCACCAGATAAGAACTGCTCCCTGCAATCTGGGCATGGCTATTGTGGTTTTGTGCCTCAGTTTCCCCACACGCTTATTGACGAGCAAGTGCTTGCCACAGGAAAGCTGCAGACCACCAGGCAAGCCTAGGAGAAGGGGGCTGTGGGGTCCAGGTGTGCAGCCCTGTCCCCTCCCCAAGGGCTTGGAGACAGGGAGAGGGGACCTTTGAGGCAGGATCCAGGTGTCCAAGCCACGTGGAGGGCTCGGATGGGGTCTTTGGGTGAGGAGGAGGAGGAGAAGGGGCAGTGCTGGGGTAAAACCTTCAGTAGCTGCTGGCACCAGCACCCACAGGTGTTTGGGGCACCCAGCCCATCAGCCACCGCTTTGGGGCACCCCAATGGGTGCGAAAGGTTGTAAATAGTTGTACATGGGGAGCGCAGGGGCGGCCAGGGGGCACCCCCAAATAAATACTGCCTTTGGGACAGACACGGGTGCCTGCGTGTGCTCTGTCGGGGGCAGGGAGTGGGCACCCAGGGGCTCTGCTGCCACCTGGCCCCCTCACCTCAACCTGCCCAACTGCCCCTGAGCCCTGCCGAGGGCTGGGCTGGAGCCTGGTGGGGAGCAGTGGGTCCTGGGGATGCACTGGGAACATTGGGAAGCCGAGGGGCACTGGGCAGGACTGGGGATGTGGGGAGGTGGCAGTACCAGGTGGTGCTGTCTGGGTGTTGGAGGCACACTGTGCTGGGCTAGTGGCCAGCATTGGGCGTTACTGAAGGCACTGGGAGCACTCAGTGTCAGTACTGATGGCTCTGGGGGAAGTACCGGTGCACTCGGATTTGGTAGTGGGAGCCAGAACTTGGTGGTACCTGGGGCATGGGGGGGTGGCTCAGGGCACACTGGGGCTGGTAGTGAGCAGTACTGGGCTGTACTGGGAGCACCTTGGTCAGTACAAGGGGCAAGGAAGGTGGTACCAGACTCCTCTGGGCACTCCTGGAAGGCACTGGTGATGGTGCTGTGAGGTGCCAGGCTATACTGGGGTAGTACTAGGGACACTGGAGCTTAGTACTGAGCAGTACTGGGAGTGCTAGGGGCACTCAGCATCAGTACTGGGAGCACCAGGAGAACTATTGGGGCATTAGGATTTGGTACTGGAAACCAGTACTTGGTGGTGCTGGGACCATGGTGTGGAACAGTGGTGATGGGCTCTATAGGGAGTACTGAGAGTGGTAGTGGGTGATACTGGGCTGTACTGGGGACTGTACTGTTGTCAGTACTGGGGGCATTCTGGTCAGTACTGGGGCAATGGGAGTGGTACTGGGCTCTTCTGGGCAGTCCCCAGGGGCACTGGGGTCAGTGCAGAGAGGTCCTGGGCTGTACTGGAGTCAGTGCTGGGCTGTACTGTGCTGTACCAGGCTGTACTGGGCTGTACCAGGCTTTACCGGGCTGTACTGGGGAAGTCCTGAGCTGTGCTGGGCCGCACTGGGGCGCTGGGAGCCGGGCTGGGTCGTTCCGCCCCCTGGCGCCCGATCTTGGAACTGCAGGAGCCCCGCGGCGCGGAGGGGCACTGGGACAGCGGGGGGGGATCGGGGCGTGGGGCCCTGGACTGTACTGGGGAGTTCTGGCAGGGCCTGGGGGACACTGGGGGCGGGGGTTGCAGGGCGTTACCGGGGTGTCTCCCTTGGAGGGGACACAAGGTCTTACTGGGATGGCCACGATGGCAACAGGGGCACTGAGTGGTCACTGTCATCGGTGTGGGGGTGACAAGGGGGTGCCCGCAGGGCTGGACAGGTTGTTTTGGAGGGGGTGTTCTGAAGACACTGGGGGTACCAGGATTGCCTGGAGACACCAGGGGGATACTGGGATTTCTCCCTGAGATACTGAGGACTGTTACTGAGGAGGGGCTTGGAGACTCTGGGAAAGCAAAATGTCTCTGAGCACATTGTGCTCTTGTCGCTGGAGGGGCCTGGGGACAAACTCCGGGCGAGGGGATACTGGGCTGGGCTGAGGGTGTACTGGCTGGTAGCTGGGGACACTAAGGAGTGCACTCAAAGGGGCCTCGGGACAATGCTGGAGGGTCCGGGAAGGAGCCCTGGGGACAGAGGGTGGGGGACTGGGACTGACGTTCAATCATTGGGCTGGGGGAGTGTCCTGGGGTCACTAGGATAGCTGACTGGGGGGACTGTGGGCACCAGTCCAGAGCAGAGGGGATGACCAGCAAGAGCTGGGGACAGTGGGGACATTTCCACCTACTGCTTCCAGCCTTTGCCAGAGCCCAGCGGAGCCCCCCAGCTCCAACCCCACCTCGGGGTCCACAGCAAAGACAGAACTGGGTCGGGGTCCCACATTCCGGTGGTGGCTGGGGCAAAGCAGGGATCTGGGCAACCATGAGCCTCCTCCCCGCACAGCCGTTGACACTGGGAGCCACCGGATTG